AAGTAGAATTTTAAAACGCAAATAAAAGGTATTTTAAGCGTGTAACGCGTTACATTTTTTAGAGGGGATCGCGCATTTTTCGTGTGTAGAGCGTTCAAAAGTGAATCTAGAATTTTCATTTTCCTCACAAAACAAGAGCAATTCATGTCATTTGTTACTTCATCAACGATTTTGCATTAAATGTTGGCAAGAAATAGAAAACGATAGTTTTTACAGATGAAGAATCTGTAACGCTTTTCATTAAAAACGTGCATATGAATATAGACAATAAATTCACTCATTTACAAGAAAGATTAAATAGAAAAAAAAAATTATATCAAAATAATGTGCTTTTTCAATAGATTTGAAATATTTCATTGATGTTGATATCAAACTGCATGCTTTTAAGCTAGTAATTAGACTACAAGTTCAACAGAAATGTCCAGCGTCTAAAATGACGTGCAAAAATTATACAATACCTTTTTTCGAGTCGTTAAATTATATCGTTTTCCCAATCGACTACAGGAATAATTGATTTTTCAAAATGTGCTAATCTAAACGGTTAGATTGAATGTCAGATTAATAAATTTACTCCATTAATTAATATTTTACGCAACATTTAGGAGGTTCAACATATTTGTCCAGTGGACGTTCTTGACGCGTAAAATTCGTTCTGCTTCAACGTAATACATGAAAATGCATTTAAGACTGCTTCGAATAATTAACAAAATTTATCACATATATACAAATCCAAAGCGCCCTTTATGTTCATTAGTTTAATTACAAATAGCCTACGACTTTTTAAACTCGCATTTCAAATACAGAGATAGTGATAGGGTATCAGTCAAGCAAGTAACACTATAGGAAGCATTACGTCAATTTTTCCGTAGCGCCATGAAAGCGTAACGTCAAACATCACCAACATTGTGCGTAACGTCAATGCAATGCACTGATCTTAATTAAAAAACAGAATTTGTTAGCTTGCATATGAAAGAACTCAATAAAGTGAAACAAAATTTGACTTAATTTTATTTGATCGACATTGCAATGCAATAAAATGCAATTAAATTCTGCAGTGTTCATTCCTTCTGGTTGTCTTGCGCATACCCATCTTGTCATTCGATAAAAAAGTCATCGATACATAACTTTGTCGAAAAGTCTATAAACATAATTATTGATTGTTCATTGAGATTCCTATGAAAGGTAACAAACATATATTAGGAATATGAGGATAGGGAAAAAACCCTGAATTCTGTGTTTGAAAACTTGTTGGGTTTTTTTTTTTTTTTTTTTTTTTTTTGGTGCTTGAATTTTGAAAGTATGGATATTTCATCATATATTTCATCCAATTAAGAAGTGATTTCAATTGGACAAATTACCAGTCAATACAATGAGTTGCATTGTATTGCAGCAGAGTGCAGTATGCATGGCGCCTTTGTACTTGTATTTACACAAACACATTTTATTTTTTAATAATCACTGTATTAAAAACCCATCTTCCAAAAAGACATCTCATATAGACAATTTTCACATGCCATTGATTGTATGTTGGGAAATTTGCATTATGAAAGTTTGGAACAAAGTTTGATAACTCAAAATATGGTCCCTTGAACAAAGAAGCAAAAACGTCTGTTTTATATTATGCAAATGCGTAGGAAATGCTTATGAATGACATGCTTCTATACCATACAAGACCTATGAGAGTCAATCACAATTGATCAAGTGTAAATGTCGTAGCACTGATATATATACTACTCAAAATTTGATAAGGATCATTTAAATTTTCTATGTATTTAGATAATCAATAACTGTATAACTGGCAATATTTTGTCCAAATGCAAAAAAAAAATGTCTTTAACAAACTTGCACGTGTATTTCATGTCATGGAAATGGTTTCGCGTCACATTTTATACTTTTGCTACAATTGCACGATTTTCACTCAGGCAGCGGTGTGATTCTTTGTAAGATTTAAAAGAACTCACCTGAGTGTTTACACTACGTTTATCAACACAATGGCCCCTCAACGTGTAAGGCGTCGCCTGACGACAGAACAACTAGGTAGATGTATTGGAATGCTTGACGCTGGTTATTCACAACGTGATGTTGCAAATGCGCTAAACGTCAGCCAGAGCGTTGTAAACAGAGCCTGGAACCGACGGCAAACTTTTGGTACAGCAGCACACCGACATGGGGGTGGTCGTCAGAGATCAACAACTCAACGCCAAGACCATTTTGTGGCTCTTCAGGCACGACGCCACCCCTTCTGGACAGCAACCAGCCTGCGTAACGACCTCCTGAACGCCTCGGGGGTAAACGTCTCGACTCAGACGATACGGAATCGGCTTCACATTGCAGGTCTCAATTCGAGAAGGGCATGTGTTCGAATCCCTCTGACTGTGCGACACCGGCGGGAGCGATTGGACTGGGCTGAAGACCATGTCACTTGGACACAGAACGATTGGGTTCCAGTTCTGTTCACCGATGAGTCCAGGTATTGTTTGGACTTTACAGACAGGAGGCAACGAGTGTGGCGACGACGACGTGAACGTTTTCCTGATACCCACATCAGTGAACATGACCGTTATGGCGGTGGTTCCATCATGGTCTGGGGTGGAATCAGCAGGGATGGAAGAACAGATCTGCATGTCCTGGAGAGAGGAACAATGACGGGGGTGCGGTACCGGGATGAGATCCTGGATGTTTACGTTAGACCCTATGCTGGTGCTGTTGGCCCTGAGTTCATCCTGATGGATGATAACGGCCGTCCACATCGCGCCAGGGTGGTGGAGCAGTACCTTCAACAGGAGACAATTGTCCGTATGGACTGGCCAGCGCGCTCGCCGGACTTGAACCCGATTGAGCATGTATGGAACATGCTGCAAGTTGCCCTTTCACGCCGTAGAGCACAACCCACGACTTTGGCAGAGCTGGGAAACGCCCTAGTTGAAGAGTGGAACAACCTTCCCATTGGAAACATCCGGGTGCTTATTGACAGCATGGCTCGACGTTGTCAAGCCGTCATTGATGCAAGGGGAGGCCATACTCGGTATTGACACTACATCGACTATTTGTGATGATGGACTTTCTCCAAAAACTGTGTAATTTTTTCTCTGGTTTTCAGTTAACTTTTTTGTAATGAAATGCCTTTTGGTGTTGTTATAAGATTTCAAGCATTCCTTATTGGTTAAAGTTCATGTTGTTCATAGAAACCCATTCATAACCAGAGTAAACACATTTTTGACTTAAATTTTTGTCTGTTGTTATGTTAGTGGTAAATTACACATATATAACCTAGTGATCCTTATCAAATTTTGAGTAGTAATATATGTTATGTTTGATTTTATTGTGAGTTCACCAAATACTGCTGAACAGTAATGAAAAGCCCTATTGATTGGTTTGCCGCCTTGTCTCCAAATGTTTACTCATCATTAAAAAGCAAAAGTTCATTTTTTTCACGTTGTAGCCTTGTTAAAATGATTGAGTATATTTAAATTAGACATGCCCTCAAGTAATAAAAAGGAAAAATCTAATCCGTTTCCAAAACTTCTTAAAAAATAAAAAAGAATTTAAACTGAATTGTACATCTTTAAAATTGTGTAAGTAGTTTCAACCCTTTTTTCCAATGAAATCATGTGATACAAAATTAGACTAAAAAAAGACCAAAACTGGTGGTGAAATAATGTCGTGAATTCATTTTTAAATGGCCTTTTGTTTTACACCATTGCTTGAATTTTTATTAAATGATCACGAGAATCTGGCAGTTTTTGGTCTGATAACAATCAGGAATAGCTGAGAAGGGTTCTAGTATACAAACAGCTATCGTTTTATATGTCATATCACAATCCTTTAGATCGCTTTTATTCAACTTACAAAAACATATTCACCCAGAATTTTTAAAATCGGATTTAAGAGATCCGAAGGACTGTGATCCAAATGAAGCCTTTAAGGTCAGACGAGACGTTCCTCAAAATCTGTTTTCTATATCTTCGTAATGTATGGAAAATATTCAAAATTTTAATTACATTTTGATTTCTAAACCAGTTTCTAAATGTCTTTAAAAAATCCAAACACATAAACATTTGAAATTGGAAAAATATTTTTCCTCCCAAAAGGATTATATAAGAAAAACTACCCTTGATATCCTGCAGAAATGCCTGGTAAGGTACCTTAATTTTTTGTGAGTATACATGTTTAAGTAGCAATAATTCAATGACAAAATCTTGGAATATTTTATCTATTATTAAGGAACGTCTCGTCTGTCCTTAATGGCTAACTTGAACCAATTTATAGATTTATATGCAATGTACTGATGAAAACAAGATATATATCATACATAAGGTAGTTTAAACTTGGAAACTGATGGAAAGAACAAGTATACATGTACATGTGTTTTTGCAGACAGCACAACTTCCTCCAGGCTTTTAACAAGTAGAGCTTTTTACACTTTATTTATTTTAAGTGTTAGGTAATACAAACTTTTCATTTATGAACCGACCTGTTTTGTTTTAATCACACAGAATTTATTTGAAATGTTGCTGTATTAAAGATAAAAAAAATGACGTGACCTTTATTTCGACATTTAGAAATGTCTGCAACGTTTTATTAATTAAAAATATTCGATTTTATTAAAATATTAACAAATATATATCTCAGTGTCCTCAAAAACACGTCTATCGTATTGCATTATTATGAAATAATTAGAATGTTTTATTGATCATAATTAACATTAAGACTTTTGTCCTTTACATGAATTTATAATTTTTAATTTATTTTTTAATTGAAAAATTATAAATTTGGAGAGGACAATATACTGGTAACACTAATGGGATGACTTCAGCCTTCCCATCGTCATCGTTCAACCCTCACCTATCATGTAGTTATATCCTATTATGACCTGCAATTCTGATTAATTGTTTTCTTGTCAGTATTTCCGTTATAAAGGAATAATTAATGAAGGCCATGTTATATAAATTATTATGCGTGTTCCGAATTTCAAAAAAGAGCAATACTGATTGACAAAATACAATTTTCATATTTATTCGAAGATTTGAGAAAAATTACATTAACCAACGAGGTGTCCTTGAGCACCTGCAATGAAACAGATAAAAAATCCTGAAAAAAATATCGACTAATACTATGTTTAAAATATACAATCTAATCAAACAATCAATACTAGTAATTTAAAAGAATAACATTGAATTGAACTACTGATGAACAACATGACCAAAAATGATACTTAAGTATTTAAAAAAAAAAAGTGAAAATAGAAATGACGTGTACTGAAATACCTAAACATTAAAACGATATTTTTGTAGATTATGGACTATTTCAGGAATCAAAAGATTTGAGTTAATACAGATTGTAGATACCTGAATCACCATATGTTCCTGCAAACAAATAGCAATTTTCGATGACTTAAGTCATTTCGAAATAGCCGTGAAATATTTTGCTTGAACGGCAAAACAATTTAAGTGGTAGTATATTAATCCTCACAATATTGAAAAATGTGGATTGCAGTTACCTGATTGGCCATGTGTCCCTGCAAACAAAGGAAATTTTCAGTGATACAGTTATAAAGTCATTCCTAACTAGCTTTCAAACGATATTGTGCTGCAATTGCAAAGCAAAAATAGCCCCAGTGGAAAAGAGATGTCCAGGCTTTGTGTGCCTTCTGGCACGGAAAGAATTAAGGTAAGGTTAGTATAAAGATGTGAACCCCCTTCTTCTGCATTCTTCATTTTATATCTTTACCTTCAATAAACGTCAGCTCCAGACTGTATAATTTAGGGGCTTCCTGCATTAAATAATGGGGGTTGCCATGGAAGTATGATGCAATATTTTTACATATTTGTGGTTGTCCGAAATGCTCGAGAAGAAGCGATGGGTATCCTTAAAAATCTTAGTCAACAAACGTGCTTGTTTGCAATATGTTTGTGTCATCCCTTCTCACTCATTTCTCAACGGATTTCGCTCAAATTTTCAGAGATTATAGAAGTTTATATCTATCAATTTCAAAAAGTTTGTTTTGAAATTACTTTCGTTTCCAACTCAAGACGGTCAAATATGATTTTATGCAGAGGAGTTTACAATTATTTGTTTTATTGAACATAATTAAAGTTTTCGGTTATTACATGTAAATCGTGTCAGGAAAACCGGAATTAAAACGCGTATATATGCCGTTTTTGACAAGTTTTTGGGTAACATATGTCTCTTGGAGCTTAAAAATTAATTTTCCGTGCATCGTCGTCACTTCCGGTCAAACCGGAAGTAGCAAAAAATGGCTCATCTCTGCATTAATTAACATAGCTTGAGAGGATTCAAAGCATTTTTGGGCGTTTCTTCTCAATTTTGTTAAAAATTAAATTTTGTTTGTGTCATCCCTTCACCATATTCATTTGTAAATTACAACTCAAGCGGTCAAATATGAATGCAGAGGAGTTTACAATTAGTTGTTTTCATAATTAAAGTTTTCGGTTATTACATGTAAATCGTGTCAGGAAAATTAACATATTTAAATTTTGATAACATGGTTTATTTAATTTAACCAATATTTTATTATGTATAGACATAACAGGATTGGACAGCAGGCACTGCCTATATCAGTTCTCTCCATAACATTCAAAATATCCTGACATAAATATCAATTTGATGTCCTTACTGTTTTGGTATATAAACGTATTACCTTTCACGCATTCTTTGTTGTTGCAAAAGTTATCGTCACAGCAGTATTGGCATTCCGTTAGGGGAAACTGGAACTGTCTCTTACCGAAAGCAACAAGTAGCGATTTAGGATGTCCATGAAACTGCCTTCCTACAGAATCCTGACAAACCTTTATATTGAAAAAGAAAAATAAACGTCATTTTTGTGCTCTATTTTTTGTGTGCATATTATTCCTCATAATTGGTAATGCTATAAAATTTGTTGCAAATAACATATGAATTGCCAATTAAACAAAATGAAATATTGATTTGTCTAGATTTTGGAGTTTGGGGGATGTTTTTCCACAAAAACCTTGTTCATTCCTGACCTTTGACAGTTTTGCACTAGTTAACCAAATATTTTTATAGATGGTGTTCGGGTGTATCCTGATAAAGTTGTTGCAGCTTCTTCCCTTGTAATCTAAATACTGTAAAATCACATATTTTCAAGGGGTCAAATTTTCGAGGTTTTAGGAAATAACATTGGTTTGTGGGGATTTGATTTCGTGGTTGGAAAATGTTTAGTAATGATGCATATGAAATTTTACATTTCGTGGTGGTCACAAATTTATGGGTCTCTTGATTCCTCGAAAACAACGAAAATTAAGCCCCCCCCCCCGAAAATTAGTGATTTCACAGTGTAAGGGTGAGTACATTAAGATGCAAAAACCTACCATAGGGAGTTATCTTTTTTGTAACTTCTTTCCATGCTGTCGTCATCACAGCAGTATTAAACAAATAAAACTGCACTCACATGTTTTTTCTCACATCGAAGTTGATACCGCTCTTGAAACAATTCTGTAAGGACCAATCTAGCTAGACAAGTCTATAAAACAGAACATATTTCCACAAAAATTGAATTACAAATTTGAAATAATTATGTTTTTCACTTTTTATTATTATTTTTTTTTTACTTTTTAAAATTTAAATTTAGTTGTGAAATTTGGTACCTCATCGTAATTACAGACAATCACTTTTTCACATGTTCCAGGACTAGCTGTGTCAGGACAATTAAAACAGACGGTGCCATTGACCATGTTAACGGCTACAGTAAAATATTTTTTTTTCAATTTTATTACCTTCAAGATTTCAAATATCAAGAAGTCATGATTAAAAATTAGGCAGTAGCATAATTTTGAAGTCTTTCTTTTTTTTAATTTACATGTTTTAGTTTACTTATTTTGTTCTGTTCTGTATTTTTTTTTTCATTGCATCAATATTTTCAAAAATTTCTCAAACTTAAAAGCAAACATAGATTCATTTCCTTTGGGAAAAAAATCATAATTTAAATATCCAACGCCTTTTATCTTCCTCCTGATTACTCTGAATCTGCTTTAAAGATGACCTTTTTAAAAATATAAATAAAAAAACATCAAATTTTACAAAAAATCAATAACATCAATACATATGACTTTTCAACACTATATATTCATTCCCCACAATAAATTAAAGTTTTGGCTTTTTGACATCATAGTCAGCTACTTTTACAATACAAATGAAACTCATAAATATACTTATTTTGTCAATGGGCGTTCGTGTAATCATTTTGTTAAAACCTTTGTGATTGTACACACAGGGTTTCTGAAGTTAATATTAAAGAGATGCTGGAAGTCCTTATTTGCAATATTTAATTAGTATGAATTAGAATGAAGACGACCAAATACTTCCTGAAAATCTGCAAGGTGTTCTTCAAAAGTTTCGGAATAAATGAGAACCTCGTCCACATAACACGATACTGACTTGAATGTAAGACCACGAAGGACCTATTTGGTGAGGTTTTTAGTCCCATGGGAAGTCGTAGAAATTTAAATGTGCCGTAACAGGTATTGAAAGCTGTGTATTTTGTTGAGTCTTCAGAGATAGGCATCGGGAAAAATCCTTTGCTCATATCTATGGACGAGATAAAGTTCGGCACTTTGTCTGTAAATGATTCTGTAAGTTCATGTAAGTCAGGGATATTGTACCGGAACTCTTGTTTCACAGAATAAAGGTAGCGAAAATCACAAGAAAACCTGTAGTATTACAAACACTGATCTTTAGTTAAGTTGTTTAACTTCCCCTTTGGTTTGTTTTGTTTGGATACTAACACAATAGGACTTGTAATAGGGACTTTTTCCAATTCTTGAACAGTTGCAATAATATTCTGTCTCAAAAGATCGTCAAACCGATGACGCAACACGTGTTTCTTATCTGGGGGTAATCGGTATGGTAGATGATGTGTAGGCTGCACATCGGGTTTGAGATGAATCTGATGTTCTACAACAAGTGTAAAACCTATGTCAGGATTTTCCTTTGTTACAAACAATGATTTGTTTTTAATTAAACACTCTGTTAATGACTTTTTGTCGCTGACACTCAATTCATCGTCAAAGTTGAAATTCAGCAGAAACTGTTCATTGGAATGTGGATTTACTGCTGGAGCTGACTTGGAGTCAAATAAAGTTACGTTTGCACACTCAACGGGGGTTTTGTCCAAGTATATTGTTTTGAATGTGGAACGAATTGAGCCAGAATTGATCCTTTATTTATAAACACAGGTTCATCACCAGGGTTCAATATCTTAAGGGGGACTGAGTCGTTTGTTGAAATAGTAACAACTGATTTCACAAGAAGTAACCCTTTTCGCAAAAACAAATTATGTACAGAACAAACACCTGGTAAACCTATCATTTTGGTTTTGCTAACTTTGCCACTTATGAACATTTCTGAATTGGGTGGCAATGAAAAACTAGATCTACATCTAACTTTTGTACATTTGCTCTGACCTCTAAAAGTTAAAAATTTGTCAAAATCTCACACAATCTTTTTAGAAATCAAATAACAAGTACCAAGTATTAAAGGATGAGATGCACAATCTAAAATATATACAAATATTGAATGAACTGTAGACGAACAAGGTGTCTGCATTGAGATACTGGCTGTCCCACAGACGCAACCAGACTGATTATTGGCCAAGTTAACTGTCAGTTCACTGCATGATCGAAAATTTGATTTGCTTTTAACTGGTAATTTATCAAAGAGAGACTAAGAAACGATATTGATACTACCAGTATCTATGGAACGCCGTCACTGCCTTATAGCAGAACTCTACATTTGCATTGTGTCAACTTTCCATTCCATTATGTCAACACTTTGTGACATTTACTTACAGTACTATTGCATTGAGTCAACTTTCCATTCCATTATGTCAACTCTTTATGACATTTACACACGCTACTATTGCATTATGTCAACTTTCCATTACATTATGTCAACTCTTTATGACATTTACACACGCTACTATTGCGTTATGTCAACTTTCCATTACATTATATTAAGTCTTTACGGCATTAACTCGTACTTCAATTACATTGCGCCAATCTTCCATTGCATTATACAGTGTATCAGCCTTTTATGACATTAAGCCAAAACAATTTTACGTGGTGTAAAGATGTTTTTATACATAATTTCAACTCATTATTACATTATGTGCACTCTCTACTATTTGGTCTAAGTAGTTCATTACATTATGTGAATTTATCTTTAATTCAATATCAAAGTCGCTATAAAACGATGTCAGAATTTCATTACATGATGTGAAAAAAATTGTCACATGTGGCCAATTCTTTACTATATTGTGTCAGCAATATGCTACATGACGACGGGAATCTATTACATGATGTCAATTTTCCCTTACTTTTTGACAAATCATTATTATGTTATGCCACTGTATCTTTACATTGTGTCTAAAATGCTTAGCCTATTGTCAGTATATCTTAGAATATTTCAACTCTTTATTGTGTGACGTAAGGTTTAGGTTATGCCTAAAAGTTCTTTTTGTGTTTTCAATATTACATGCATATGTTAAACATGCAAGTAATTTAAATTAAACATATCAAATATTAAATTATATACACAGGACTTTATTAATTCTTAATTAAATATCAGGTTTAAATTTATAAATAGGATCATGTTCCCGTGGAATCTTTATTGACGATTGTTTTTTTTTTCACGTCGAAATTCAATGGCCGTTAAATCTCATAATTATCGCAAATCAAATAGTATGTGTTATGCAGCAATATTTTCCTTTTTATTTTGAATTATTTTGAAAAGTCCGAAATTTCTGATCTAACTATACAAAACACTGTCCTTAGATTTTTATCAGTCTTTAACCCTCCTTTTTAAAAAAAAAAAAGTGTAAACACATCGTATTTCATACGTGCTCTGGTGGGTGGGTGGGGAGAGGTGGATCCTGCCCTCCCATCTTTAGTGATCAAAATATGCATGAAATTAATTAATTGGTTTTACTTTGTAGGACATTGCATAAGTCTCACATAAGGTATAACTGAAATAAGTTGAAACGTTTCATATATATAAAAAAAAAAAAGCCTCCAGGCTTCCCCCCCCCCCGGTCCCCAACTTAGACACCATACCGTCCCACTATAGCTACTCTTTTCAAGAACCCAAGATCGCCACTGATATGTACCCATGTTTACTAAGGAATGGTCAATTGATTTAAGTGAGGAACTGGTAGATTTTTGGAATGGTTGAAAAAATGACTCATTCCAGTGACGTTGCATCGTTTTTGAAAGTTTGGGGAGGTTTGTCAGCCAGAAAAAAAATAACGTAGAAGAAAAAGCAACAAAAAAAAACAAACAAACAAAAATTCCAAACTCGAAAATCCTTTTCGGGTGAAAGAGGGGGGGGGGGGTTCCAACTTCTATCAGTCCTTAAAAATTTTCCAAATATACTACATTACCCATATACTTCAGCAAAAAGTGGGGCGAATTTCAATGAACATTTTCTACGATAAAGTTATGTCGGGAAAAAAGAGGAAGCCAGAACCCCCCCCCCCCCCGCCCCTCATATAATGTATCTGTAATTCGTCCTAATTATTCAGACCCCCCCCCCCCCCATTCTCAGTCGTGAAAGCACGGTTATCAACTTTGACATAATGTAAATGTATTTTACAGCACGTAATAAACATTTGTAACCAACATGATAAAGAATTAACACAATGTAAAGATAGTTTTAAATCACATAAGAAAGAGTTCACATAACGTAATAATATATCCACATCACGGAATGGAGTTTTGACATAATGTAATAAAGTGTTGGTATAATATGGAACGCCGGGACTGTCTCCATAATATATGTTCACATTATGTTATAAACCTTTTTACATCACGTAATAAAGCACTGACATAAAGATAAGATGTTTTCACCTCACATTGTGATGACCTCGGCGTAAAATAAAGATACATAAGCATCACGTAATAATGCTTAGTTATAATAGAAATATAAACTCACAAAAGGGAATGGACTTTGACTTAACGTAATGATAAATTAATCATAGAACACATGTAAAACGAAATTAACTTGACGTAATGCAATTTTGACCTCACATATTAAAGAAATGAAATAATATAAAGAAACATTCATTTTACGTAATCAAGTTTTAACACAATGTAAACATATTTTCACTTCACATAATGAACTTTGGACTTCAAGTTATAAAGTGCTGACAAAATGGAAGAATGTGTTTACTTCATGTAATGCAGCATTGACATGATGTAAAGATATTTTTACATCACCCCATAAAAAATTGACATAAAGTAAAGATATGTTCACATCACGTAATGATAGATTGACATAATGAATGCATAGTTTTATGCTATAAGGCAGTGATGGCGTTCCATAAGTATCTAACAGTGCAGTAACTTGCATACCTTGGATCTTGACTGGCACGTACATAAATTCCCCAGCACTATTTTCATCACATTCACTTTCACTATTTACACTTTCACAAAACACATTTTCATAATCTGAGATGTTGGCACTGTTACATTCACCGCCGCAGGCTGTGGGTGCCTTTTGCAGACTGGGCGCGGTTAGTTTCCCGCAACGGTGACCTTTTTACAGGCCGCGCACTATGTCCGTTTTGCTTACAGATCTGGCACATTACGGATGGTTCACGGGGTCCCTTTCCGTTCCAGTTGCACTCAGCTTGTCAATGGTTTGGGTCAGTACAATTGTAACACACGTATCGGGAGTTCCTTATTGGGTGGGCTGGTGCTGGTCTTGGGCGATGTGCGGGCTTCCTATCTGGGTCCCTGGCCTTTTAGGCGGTCCATTGATTCCACGAGCTGCGACAAAAGCTTCTCCGTGTTTTAGAGGTCGCTGAGGGTTCTTTAGTTGTAACAGCAGCGACCGATACCGGAGCCGTAGACTGGCGATATCCATAAGCATCTCCGAGTTTGGCCTCCTGGAATGCGGCTTGGAGGCTCCTCGGATTGGCAGCTCGGACAAAGAAGGCCAGTTGTTGGGGGAGTCCATTAATAAATTTCGCAGTGAGATCTCTCTCTGGTTTCTCCAGTCTGGACACCTTTTCCAGTACTTGGCTGTGGAAGCCTTCTATTGAGGCCCCAGGCTTTATGGTCAAAGCGTCAAATTTGGCGGATTCTGCAATGATCGCCGGATCGTACAGAGATCTGCTGAGGTATTGCGCATTGAATGCCTCCTTGACAACAGTCCATGAAAGTTTGTCGGTCACCTCCAGTGTACTAAACCACACAAGGGCTGGTCCCTTCAGGTGTAAATGGAATGCAGCGATAATTCTGCTATTGTCCTTCAAATTCTGCAAAGTGCAGAAAGATTCAAATTCCTGCAGAAACTTCTAGGCCTTTTCGCTTGTGTATCATTGAAACTTAGTAAGTTCTATTTTAGCAGAAATCGCTACGGGGGAGGTCAATGATTGACTATCTGCTGGAATTTCGAGAACGGTTTGATTTGGGGAACAAAATCCAAAACAATCAGAACTGTTATAATCCATGATGTAATACTGTAAAATCACATATTTTCGTAGGGTCAAATTTTCGTGGTTTGAGGAAAATCTCTTGGGGATTTCATTTCGTGGATCAAGATTTAATAAGTACTTATGTATGTGACATTTTACATTTCGTGGTGGACATGAATTCCAGGGTCTCGTCATACCTCGAAAACAACAAAAATTAAACCCCCACGAAGATTTGTGGTTTCACAGTAATTAAAAGTCCAAAGAAAAATGAAACCCGGATTCTCCACCATGTAATATAGTCAATTGATAAGTCGGTTTTAACGTTTAGAATTTATTGTCAGTTCAAAAATATATAAATTTCACAAAAACACAATTTAGAACAAATTTCGTAGATGGAACAAACTGAATTTAACAAAGAATTGTCCAAAATTGACTCACATACAAACTCACTCACGTCTAATCTTTGACAACTCCACCCACTTTCGTACTGACCAGCCAATTAAATTAAGGATAGAAAGTTGCATGAACAGGAAAAATCCGTATGACATTAATTTACAACACTGAAATTAGATAGAGATAAGCATAACAAATTCAAAGAACACAATCCTAAGATCTAACCATAAAGTTGATAACAAGTATGAGTAAATGGCATTGATATCGTGAGACCGGAAAGAGATGTCAATAATTAGATATTGCTCCATGTGCAAAAATGCCTTTCCTCAACAGCAAATGAAAGCAATTAACCTGCAACTACAGATGTCAAACAAGACCGAAAAGTAATAGAACAATTATATAAAAACATATTCATAATTAATAATTTGTCATTTAGAAAACCTTTAATACATATCATAACAATGTCTTTATAAATATAAAATAATAATCATTACCAAATTGCTTAGTGAAATGTAAATGGTACTACTCAAGACCAACAATCAATGATAAACTACACGTACATAATGATCTGAACAGTTAACCACAGTGTACAGTTTTGTGGGAATGACACTCCAGTACACTGCAGACATTGTAATCCTAGAACAGTAGGAATATTCTAATGAGGTATTGCAATTCCCTTTCAATTTTTTTTTGTTTTAGTACTGAAGAAACTCATGATACAATGCATACTAGCTTTGTAATATTAACCAATTACATGTATACCGATTTTGAAATTATATTCTTGGGTAAGAAAGTAAGCAGAAAAAAGTCACTTTTGTAAATAAAATGCATTTTTGTAATAAAGGAAAAAATACCTTCTCCAACAGCCAAAATGGTCACACCTACCACTGAAAATTAGAAAAGGGCAAAACATTTAGATTATCTGCCGATATAGTCATTACAAATTGAATTGCCACTATTGGGATATTATCAGTGTTAAATGAGATCACACTTTTTAAAGACATTTTTCAATCATTTGCTGTCCCTGCTGTTTTTACCGAAGACGCAAAATTTCTAAACGTACATACCTGCAGCAAGGAAATACCAGAAACTGGCCATGAAGACTGAGAGGTGTCGACCGCCAAAATTTTTTATAACTTTACCAAAATTGTTGTAATATTCCTAATCAAGTGCTTATGACCTAGGAGAATCGCTCTCTTTTGAAACTAAGTAACCTTCGATTGCCTTTGCCTGTTACGACACTGATAATGCATGAGAATGTCTGTTTCTATTTTTGTGAAATATGAAGATTGTGAAATAAACATTTACAGAAATCTATGGGAAAAAATTATCGGTGTTTTGAATTACCTACAGTGGTCAACCTGTTTTTAAAAGATGTCGTTTTCGGTGAAAATTAATTTTGGATGATTATTTTCGAATAAAAATAATTTGATAATTAAAAATACATCACAAATAAAGAAATCATTTAATCATACCTCCTTAACAGATGCAGTATCCAAAATTTTTAAATACTTTAAATGCTTACTAATGTAAATTCTAAACCAAACAAAGAAATGCAACCCAATTTACTACTTTTTCAGACAATTGTCTCCTAGCTGTTGATAAAATTCATGCTGTTATATATATGATACTTCTCCATTTCATGAAATTTTTCATTAATTTTGAGTTTCTAATTTCATGAAATATTGATATAACGAAGCTCAGAAACGATACATATAGGGGGTAGACGAAAATATTTGGACCTCTTAATTATCAAAGGTTGGCTCGGGTGCCATGGAGGAGTAAGCATCCCCTGTCCACGACTCACTACCACAGTGTGCGCCTTGTCATGATCAGACAAACGGAAAAATTCTTAGACATATCGGCCCAACAATTTGAATGAAACATGTCAATCAAAATACGACTCAATGTTAGGTATAGACATAGATTTTACAAAATGATGAATTTGATTAAGGTATCCGATCCATAATAGCCTCAGATTCAATGAATCTGAATGCATAACAGATATATATTGGCTGAATACTCAGTAGATGTTGACAAAATTTTCATGTTTTAGTATCAATATGTAAGTGCAGAATGTGTCCTAATTTTTGACCTTGACCGTCCTTGAATAGTTATCCCCCCTTTATATCAATAAAATTTAATTGAAAAAAATCTACATGGTGAAATTCTTTTAACTGTTTTTCTATTCTTAATAATCATATGCATCTTTCCACCGTAGCATTTTTTAATATTCTTAGTATTTTTTTAAAACAAATTGCTTGTTCCCATAGACTTTGCATTCTTAATTAATTAATTACTTCTCAGGTAATTATATTTTTGAAAAATTCGTTTGGTAAATCCTTTTCTACTCTAAACTGATTTGAATTAGTTTCAGAGTATTTAACACAGGATGGATATTTACGGTTAGAAAATTATGTCCCTTTATGGATCGGATACCTTAAACGACATTGTTGAAAACTCTGCAACATCACCTTACATTTTAGTAGCCTGGCTTTGTTACGTTCGGAGCATACTTTTGAGTATCGAATACTGTAGAATCACAAATTTTCGTGGGGATAAAATTTCGTTGATTTGTCGTCAAAAATAGTTTCGTTGGCATTTAATTTCGTTGATTTGAATGTAATGCTATTCAATAAGTATTCATATAAAATTTCGTGTGGGATTTAATTTCGTTGATAATTGTTAACAACGAAATAAACGAAATTTAATCCCCCACGAACATTTGTGCTTTTACAGTACTAAGTAAGTCGTGAGACGTCAACACCATACGTAAGGGATAACGAAATATTACTATATAAATAAGGAAAGTTGAGGATGGAAAATATAAGCTGAAGTTAGTTGGTCCTTATTGTCAAGAGTCAGTAATACATCAAATTTTCAAAAAGATTAGGCAGACTTTGCGGGGTCTTTTGATTCAGTTTCACTCCGACATATCAAATCGACACACAAATGGAAATATCTATTGTCAATTGATAAAACATCTTCTGTATAATTATCTGTATGTTGAGATGTTCAAAGGCCACAGCAAGAGTTTTTCTTCTTCTCATGTAGAAGTTTTTGAATAAATTCTACCTTTATATGCACAAGAGCTGTTCAGTAAATAATGCCCTGAACTCTATGACATACAACATAGAAATCTTATGACATGAAGCTTGACTTTCTCTCATGATTGAATCTTTTAATGAATTGATTACAGCTTATGTGACCACTTTTCATTACATAGTTTCATTGTGAGAAGCTGGAAAACAAGTGCTATTCGAGACACTGCATTAAAACGAATGATAAAGAATCAGCAAGGGTCTAAGAGCAAAAAATTGCAAGAGCACAAAGACATTTTTATATGCCATTTTCTTAAATATTTCTGGTCTTGTTGTTAAAATTATTATTCTGGGAGGCAGTTAAATTTCTGAAGGAGTCTATAAAGCAAAATTGTTGACAAAAATCGAAAGATTTAAGAGAGGAAGGAATCAGAATCAGAAATCCAATACATTAAATTTCTTCATGACAGCGTCCAAACCCGCACGCCCTGAAGAGTAAAGGAGTTTCGGGGATAAACAGAAATTCACACTAACAATATTCGCCAGATCTTTCACTCTTTGACTTGATTCATTTTCCAAACTTGACCAAAAAACTTTCAGATAGAAGAAACAAGTCCAGGAAATTATAGGATCTGCCATATTCCAGTATACGAAGGGCTATACTCAAAAATATGTTCTAAAAACAATCAGAAATTGGATAAAAATGCCACGGATATGTGTTTTAATTAATAAGAGAATATTTAAGTGTAATCATTAAGACTAAATCATTGAATAGCGGGTTTTTTGTTTCTTTCCGAGCACCGAGGACATTATTTATTGAACAGCCCTCGTACATAGGGGTATAAAAGTAGATCGGCTAATAAAAGAGCACAGTTAGTGCCCATCGGATTTCACGACAGTTTGTTGGAAGATGATACATAAATGTTGTTATGACTCCAAAACTGTAGTGTTATGGTTTTATATACGTATATAATGTACTAGCAAGTCTTTGACGAAAGTCTAATATATAAAACCTTAACACTGCAGTTCTGTAGTTAATGCTGTCAAAAAGGAATACCAACATCCTTTCAATATCAACTTCAATTTTTTGTACGTCAGAGTGATTTTGAACTAAGAAATTTTGATGAGATAAGAAAATTTCCGACTTTTGTTTCTGTTGAAAAAGCAAATGTCTATAACATCAAAAAGCCAATTTATTGTGATGAATTGGCTGTAGAAAAAAAAATTTCATTTTAAATTTTCTGAAAGTTCTTCGGATTTCTTAGTATTCGAGAATCCACATCTGAATGACACCACTTCTAAAATATATTATAGCACAGAAAGTTTTGAAGTTTCTCTTTTACAGTGGTTAATAGTTTTGAAAGGAGTATGACTAAGGGGGTGGTATCTAGCAAGTCATGTAATTAAAAGAGTATCTGAAGCACAGGGGCTTGCTCCTAGACACTACTAATCACAATTTAGCTAACATATATATAGTTTTGTCCAGGTCACTATGTATAAAGATTGTTTAAAGACGGCAAAAAGAATATATCTTTTTTTATCCCACAACAAGTTCATTTCCGATTAATTACAAGCTGTATCTAGTCCAAACTTGTATAAGCGCATGTAGGGAAGCACATTACCAGATTTGATTTGGAAACTTGATTTGAAATCACTTGTCATATGGAGTCCAAATCTTTGTAGATGTTGCATTTAGGGATATGCTTTTGATGCTGTGTGTAACCTACATTTTTTCCGAATGAAGAACAGGTTTAAGATTTTGAAGCACTACAGACAGAACATTCTCAAGCAACTACACTTGACAAAATTGCTAACGCACCACTTGTTAATTCTTATTTGTGAACTGAACATTTGCCGGATCGGCTCTAGTGTATATAATATGCCATCATTTCCAAAACAGTGGGATTGACAAATGCCTTGGTATCATGAAAAGACCTTTGAATGACCTTCTTTTCCGAAAAGCAATATCCAGCTGTGAACTGCGCACCATTTTTGCCTAGGTATGAAATCCTTGATCACTGTAGGTGGTTTGTGAGGTTGCCACAGGAGTATTCCCCTAGTAATAAATCAAATAACAAACAGTCATTTACTCTCATATAGCCTAGTAATCAATCATCTGGTGCCTTAATGTCCATACCAAATCCACTCAACTTCCAGTTGACCTAGTTTTGAAGAACAATTTTCAACTTATTCTATGCAGCTAACTTAAAGCCGTGGCAATCTGTAATAAACATTTTTATATTTGATACTCTATTTACAACAAATTTTCATGAGTGAAATTCATAAGTATTAATTTTTAATAATTTAATTTTGCTTGTATTCTTGCCTCTCATTGGTTGATTTCCAAAAAGGAACGCATAACATTTTGTATAATCTGGTTTGGTATGGGGACACACCCCCTTGACAACCAGCATAATCATGTGTATCCATCAATCCCCTCATTTCCAGTCCTTGGGATTCATGGAAAATTCAAGATTTAATGAATGTACCTTTAATTTCAAACAGTTACTCGATCTTACCTCATGTAAACAAGCATCATGGCTGCTAGATCTATGTATCAGTTTTTACCTCCCCTCGCTTCCCATCACTTCCGTTACTACGGTTGTATTATTGCGCGGTAAATTTGAACTCATAAAAACAACACAATTTTACATCCCCAGTTGAATAATTATTTTAAAATTAAATTATAAGGAATGACTCTAATTCTTGGCCAAATTATCGAGTATAATATGGTTTGGGTCAGTTTACGCTTTTTTATAATCCGCTTCGCGGATTATAAAGCGTAAACTGACCCAAACCATAGTATACTCGATAATTTGGCCAAGAATTAGAGTCATTCCTTAATTGTTCTCATTTTTTACAGATTTCTGTAAAGGAACCCCCTGCAGACACCATGCTGTCTGCTTTAGCAAAGAACACAAATACAAAGAAAATTTTGAATTTTTTTCCTTCAAAAATGGAATAGAAACGATTTTATTTTTTTTCTATGAATTGGTCACACTTCAGTAAACATTGTATTTATTTATAGGGTTTGACATTAATATGCCTTATTTTTTGTTAAAGTAACATATTTATATATCAAATACAT